GAGAGAGAGAGAGAGAGAGACTTACAAGCTAACCATGTACACTATATACAAGCGAGGGTTATCGCGCGCGCGCGCTCAAGCACGTTACCAACACCGGGAGCTCCTGGCTTCGGAGAGATAGCACCTTTCTCCGCGGTAGCGTCAGGAAGTCGGGAAGTCCAATGTCGGTAGCACTCTGGCTTCGGAGAGATAGCACCCTTCTCCGTGGTCTCGTCAGGATAGAAAGACTGGGAAGGAAGTCTCGGTCGAGACTCGGAAGCACACTGACGGGAACTGATCTGGTGCCAACTCGTCAGTTGAGCCAGCTTTTATACCGCTTCCTTACCTCTTATACTTCCCTTACCTCTACGAATCTCCGTGGTGAAAGTAGATCCCCATGATGGGGAATTATACGGGTAGTAGCGCTCAAGGGACGCCGGGCGGATAGCCGGCCCTAAACTAGTTAGTGATGGCACTATCGTGTGTCGTTACAAATTATATTTTCATCGTTATATTATTCATTCGTACCGATTTTTATATCTATATAAACATATATTTCGTAATGTGTGTGCTTCGAATTATAAATTATGCTAAGTAATCTTCTCGTGGAGTATTCTTCTCGTACAATTACTTGCAATCATAATTCATGAACTTATAAATGTTTCTAAATTATTATTAATATATCCCTTTTGATAAGCGCATATTTATCATTATTAATCTTATCGATCTGGCGGATCATTAGACCGATAAGTCAGGGTCACTGTAGGATCCAGCGAATCATTGGCGGGCAGAGTACAATATGTCTCGAATGAAAAATTGAGAAATGTATCTCCAATTACAATCTCTGCTTCTTATGTCATGATTCAGATTGACTGATTATTAATAAAAGGTCTCTATCGAGTTAAAGATTCCGCAGTCTTTGCAGTGATGTGTATGCAGAGTAAGAACGAGAGTAAGAAAGTGAAAAACGAAAGAATAAGCGAGATAGTATGTTTGCTCTTTTTCCGCACGTCCGATTGGTGGTCAACGATGTTGAGTTTCGCGGCGAATTTGACAGTTCGTGATAATTTATTTCGGAGTGTAAGTGACTCATGTTTATGTTGCAGGTAAGTTCTAATAAGAAGCAATATAAATAGTGTCATTTTATATTTTTTACATATCTCCAGTTATCAAAGCTACAAGTGTTCAGATACTATGATTGTGCAACTCTTGATATTATTATATTCTTTAAATTTTTAAATAGTTTTAAAAACATCACATA